ATTGGCTACACTAATTAAAGGCCTTCCTAGCAAGACCAGAAAGCTGGCAGGCCATCCCCTCTCTCACACACTGCAGTGGCTCACTCCTACCCGCAGCTGATGTCCAGGCTCCTGAACCTGTCCGATAAGGCCCTGCATTACATGTGGGGAGAAAAGGTTCTCTCTGCTCACATGATGAGGAGAAACTCCTCCTATGTTGTCCAGAGCAGGGTAAGAGGAGGGAAGACAGCTCTCTGGGGAGGGGGAAGGGGAGGGGGAGGAGGTAGGAACGCAGACCGGAGCAGAAAGGGGGAGTGAGAGAGACAAGCCTGCTTGAGGCTTGAGAGAGAAGTGTGGGAGCTTTGGGGTGGGGAACATTGAGAAAATATAATGTGAGTGAGACCGACATCAAGAGAAATGGGGGAAGAAGACCTGGAAGGAGTTTCCCTGGAGTTAGCAGCCCCTCTGTGCCAGGGAAGAATGCAGCAAGTGCCACCACACAGCTCCACTAATGGGAAGGAAAACCCATGCTCTGTGGAAGGTGCCATCACACCCAGAGAGGCCCACGTGAGGGCCGGGCTTTCTAAGAGCTGCCTGTCCCTTCTGGAGGGGGCTGTCACTTCATGACACTGAGGTTTGCATACATCCTCACACATACACTGTGCCATTTCGCCCAGCCCTTGCTCTGGCCGCTTCTGCCCATGACATCCCATCACCTGGTTCAGCCAGACTTGGCCCGGATTTCCCTTCCTGCAAAGCCAGCCTGGTGGGGTTCTCCTGCTCTGTGATCTCAGAACTCCACTGCCTTCAAGAGAATCCACTCCCCATCATTGCTTTGCCGAATGGCTTTGTAAGAATTACTAGAGGCCCAGTGCATGAAATTTGTGCACGGGTAGGGTCCCTAGGCCTAGCCGGCAATCAGGGCCGATCAGGCTCCCTGCCTCCCAGCCTTCCCGCCTCCCTGCCTCCCCTCCTCCTCCTTCCATTGCTCCCTCAGCGCCCTACCGCCATAGCTGGTCATCCACCGTGTTCCACTCCGCCCCCTGGTGGTCAGCGCACGTTATAGCGAGCGATCGAACTCCTGGTCTACCAGTCGAACTCCTGAGGGGACACTTTGCATATTGTCCTTTTATATATATAGATTACTTGTAAAATACCTGCTTGGGGTCTGCCTCCCCTACTAGGCTTTGAACACCTTGAAGGTAGGTCAGTGTTTTATTCATCCTTGTTGCCCCAGCCATGAGCACAGCACAAAGCAGCTAGTCTGCTATGTAGTCTTAGAGGAAAAATCACTTTACTTTTAGGGCCTTGATACCTTTCCCTAAACCAGGGCTCAGGGAGGAGAAGATAGTGCTGTGGATAAGAGATCTGCAAACAAATTTGGGAGAGTTCTTGGGCTCCCCACTAAGCTATGACATGATGCCATTAAAAGTTTTATTTCTTACTCCCCAAAGGGGACAGTATCTTTCCACTAGTAGTTTCCAGACCCACAATCCCTTTCCAAAGATGTGGCAGCCCTTAGGAAAGACCGGAGGGGCCCCGAGAGCCATGGCGAGCCTGGCAGGGAAGGCCTGCATCCCTGGTGGCTGTGCCTCCATCCTAAGAGATGTGTGGAAAACGCCAAGGCCCAAGGTCAGTGACCAAGGCTCTTGGCAACTGGGCCCCTGCCCGGAAGTGCAGCATCCCTTCCCACCCAGGGACCGTGACAGCTTGGGATCCAGTCTCCGATCTCCAACGCAGAGCAAGGCGGGGGGCACTCTGTGAACAAACCTTCGGGGACCGGAGCTGGTCCAGATGCCAGTCCCGTCTCTTCAGTGCTGAGTCACTAATGGCGACAGTTTTGTGGCCTCAGATCATTGCCTCTACCTCCCTAGGGACCAGGGACCAGGAGTGAGGAGGTGCCACTGAGGTCCTACGCTCCTGGACCAGGCTCTGACTTACCATTTCTGGGAGGGCTGTAAGTCTGCAATCAAAGAAGTTATATTACAAAAGATATGGTTTTTAGAATAAGGGAGGAGATATTTCCTCTTCAGCTCTGAGCGAGGACATCTCCCTCTAAGAGAAGAATGATTAAAAACATATTATGTCTGAGACCACTGAAGAAACAGGAGAAGAAAAGACTGAAGAGTTCTTGTTTTAAACACAGGACAGACAGGTTCTGAGGAGCTTTGGGGGGTAGAATAAACACCAAAGAGTAGAAGCTCCAGGGAAAGATATATCAACTCAATGTAAGAGAACCTTTGACAGGAGGAGCTGTAGGCGGGGCAGCTGCCCACCATGAAGGAGCTTCCATCAATGGGGGGATGCTGCCTCCAGCTGGCGATGCTGTCGGAGGCATCCCAGCACCCGCCAGTGGAGGTGCTAAACGGCCTTCAAGGTGGCGTCCACGTGGGTGCCACCTTCCAGAATGTCCCCGTCTGTGCGACCTTTGGTCCCAAAGTGTGTCATCGGAGGAGGATCTTCTCTTGCTGAAGCTGCCCACATTACAGACTCAAAAACTCAGGGACAGCACTTCAGTGGCTGGGAAGGTAACTCAACTGGACAAAGCGGGCAGCCGCCTCTCACCTGAGAAGGACATTTAAATTATGGAAGTCCTGTAGTAATTAGTAAGTCTGAAACCTGGAGAAAATTTTACTTAGTTCCAGAGTGCATCAACTCAGTTTCTAAAGCGTTTTCTGGGCAGCCCCATCCCTTGCAGTAGGCTCTAATCAGTGATGGTGAATCTATGACACGCGTGTCAGAGGTGTCACGCGAACTCATTTTTTTGGTTGATTTTTCTTTGTTAAATGGCATTTAAATATATAAAATAAATATCAAAAATATAAGTCTTTGTTTTACTATGGTTGCAAATATCAAAAAATTTCTATATGTGACATGGCACCAGAGTTAAGTTAGGGTTTTTCAAAATGCCAAGCTCAAAAGGTTTGCCATCACTGCCCTAAGTGCTGCCCTGAGCTTTGATTGGGTTAGAAAACCACACAGGCCAAAACCGGTTTGGCTCAGTGGATGGAGTGTCGGCCTGCGGACTCAATGGTCCCAGGTTCAATTCCGGTCAAGGGCATGTACCTGGGTTGCGGGCACATCCCCAGTAGGAGATGTGCAGGAGCCAGCTGATCGATGTTTCTCTCTCATCAATGTTTCTAGCTCTCTATCTCTCTCCCTTCCTCTCTGTAAAAAATCAATAAAATAAAAAAAAAGAAAAGAAAAGAAAACCACACGGGGGGCGACCCTATGACAGAATTGAGTCTATCATTTTGAATGTTAAGGGAACTAAAACGTTCGCCTTACTCTCTCACCTTGCTTACTAAATGGGTGATGCCAAAACAGAAACATCACAGGTGATAATATCTCCACTTAATGACAGCTTAATTTTAAAGCTCTGGAGGGTACAATCTGATAATTTTCTAGAGTCAATATTTACTTCATTCCTGCTCTAGACTGAGTGATGTTTTAGGCACTGTACAGCCAATTAATCCTTGATTAAATCTGCAAGATGATACCATAGAGATTAAGTGACTTAAAATCTTTCAGCACAAATGGGCCCAGCTTGCATTTGAATTGAGATCTGACTTATCCCGTTTCTACTAAGAGAAACTCCCAGTATAAATGGAAAGGCTGCTAATGAGCAGTGTTTTGACAGGAAAGACTGCATTTGAATGTTAGTAGGATCTTATTAAAATAAGACTAAAAACACACAATTTCCAACATGTCAGATTAAGTCCTCCTCAAACACATGCTAAGATATCTCCGTACAGCTTCCACTTCAATATGAAAAATTTAAATTGAGCCCTAAAAATAGCATGAGTTTATTTATTTTTTAAAATATATTTTATTGATTTTTTACAGAGAGGAAGGGAGAGGGATAGAGAGTTAGAAACATCGATGAGAGAGAAACATCGATCAGCTGCCTCCTGCACACCCCCCACTGGGGATGTGCCCGCAACCAAGGTACATGCCCTTGACCGGAATCGAACCTGGGACCCTTCAGTCCCCAGGCCAACGCTCTATCCAGTGAGCCAAACTGGCTAGGGCAGCATGCGTTTATTTTATATTGCACTTCGGCTCTGAAACTTAGAGCTCTGAGATAACAACAGAGACAACAGAGAGTGTTGGACCCTCGAAGGACCTTTGCGGCCCCCGAGTTCAGCAACTATGAAAATGGACTAGTGCCCCAGGTCTCGCTGGGAGTCAGATGAAGCTGTGGACTCCCACCTCCAGAAAAAGCACACTCACACAACATTCTGCCCACCCCTTCATGGTCTTCAGATGAAGAACTCCTCACCCAATCTCCCTTCATGGATGAGAAAAGTGCGGCTCAGAGAGTTTAAATGACTGGCCCACGATCACACAGGCAGTTCACAGCAGCGTCGGTATTGAACCCTGGCCTCCCAATCCCCAATCTGAGACTGCACAGCATTCCTCATTCCAATTCAGGATCAAAAATTTTTTAAACATAGCACATTTTTTCCTAAAGTTACCATTTTTTTCGTTGTCTCTTTAAATAGTCCTCATATTCCACTGTATTTTTGTCCCAGTAAAGACAGGAAGGGGTCACCCAGGCTGTTTCGGGAGCGGTAATGAACAGAATGGCTCTTTGCTAGAGGGAGACCACGAGTAAAGACCTTTCATGACATTTTTAAATTAACCTCATCTAAGAGCTGAGCCCAGCTGTGATTGAAATAAGACTCCTGACAGTCACACTTACATTTGGCTCTGGAGGAGGGGGACTGTCGACAGAGAAAGGAAGCATAGGACTGTAAGACTTGGATATATTAAGTCCTTAGGGAGAAAAGTTCTCCTCTTGGGTTTTACCATCCTTCTCCACTGCCCGGGGCCCTTGCAGACACCAGCCTGCAGGCTGGGAATGGGCTCTGCACACAGGAGGAAGGAGGGAAGGAGGGAAGGAGGGAAGGAGGGAAGGAGGGAAGGAGGGAAGGAGGGAAGGATGCCCTCCGCGAGGCAGCACTCGGGCTCGGTGCCCACTACAGAGGTGTGCGCCCGCACCGCCCGGCTGTACTTACTGTCCTCGTCACTCAGATCCCTGTCCATGGTCCAGATGTCCAGCCACAGAGGTTTCTGCCCTTCCAGTGGCTTGGCCGCCAGCATCTGAGGGACTACCCTCGGCCCCTCCCGGACGGGAGGCCCATTGTTGCCTGATTTGAATACAACAGAGGGAAACATCAGAGGGGAAGCACCTAGCCCATGAGAGTAGCCGCTCTGGGCCCATTGACAGGGGTTCCTGGAGCTCCTACTCACCAGGCTTTCTATGTGCCAGCCTCTTGCTGGGCGCCTCTAGTCGTCCGAGTCCTCACCACCCAGGAGGTGGGCACTTTTAGGTGCCCATTCACCTGAGCTGAATCCAAACCTCATGCTCCTGACTCAAGCCGGAGCCCTTGACGCCTGTGCTGCATTGCGCAGTAGGAGGCGGGCTCTGAGTGTCGGGGTGGGGATTGCAGAAAAGTGTAATAACCATGAGGGGGGGTACCTCCCCAAGGGGGAGAGAAGAGATGGAGGGGCCTCTCAGGTCGAGCGTCACATCGTCTCACTGGGGAAGAAGCAAGGTCACACAGCACATTGTGGGCACATTGTGGGCACAGCCAGCTCCTGACCCACTGCTGTCACCACACCAACCGAGTCCCCTGTGGAACATCTGGGGCATTTCTCAAGGTCTCTTCCAAGCCTTTTGCTTGGGGCTTGGCCCTCCTTCAAGCCCTTGGAAGCTCGCCCCTTTCCTTCAGATGAGTCTAAGCAATGGACACCTGGGCCTGGGTCACCTGGTGGCAGAGGTGAAAGCCTGTGCGCTGCCCCCCTCCCCCTGCGCTGCATTCTTGGCAATGACCCCTGACCCCTGGGCCTGGGGCTCTCTGGCCAAGGAAGCCTTGCTCCGCAGGGCAAGGGGACACGCATGCCGGTCCTCCGGGAACACCGGCGGCTGCGATCGCCCGGGATGCACTGATTAATCTGTCACGGCCGCCCCAGGCGGAGACGGCTCCGAGGTGTGCCACCAAGTGCCTTCAGTCTCTCTCCACTGCTTTCACCTCATCACTCACTGCCCACCCAGCAGGGTGCTGGCGACAGCCATGAAGGCTGCAGCAATATTTGACAAATGCTTCTTATATCCCCACAGACGGCTCAATGCCCACACATAGGTTTTTATAGTTGGTAAGAGCACTGAATTTCTTAAACTGGAGAGTTATGTAAGTTTCATTATTGTATATGCATGAGAAAGACCGAGATCCTGAGGAATTAATTTGTCTTTTGATACCTTTATACATTAAGCAATGATTTTAAGCCCTTGTAGAACTGTCTCCATGGGAACAGGATGTTTGTGGCTGGCTGTGTGTATATTTCACTCTAAACATAATATGTGTGCATCTATGTGTGTGTGTTTAAGCTAAAACATTATAGATAGATAGATAGATAGATAGATAGATAGATAGATGACAGAAAGATAGATAGATGATTGATAGATCGACCACCTGTGGCTTAACTAAAACAATATACCACTATTATATCTTGAATACTTTTTAAGCAGCAATATATACTTGCCTAAAGCCCTCCGGCATTTGAAAAACAATCATAGGAAATCAGTAAAATGATAAACAGAAGGAACAGAATGTTAAATAGAGCTGAGTATGAAAGGGACCAGAAATCTTGAGGTTGCCAGATGCCGACAATCATGAGTTGTATCTCAGGAACCCGAGAGTGTAGATCAAAAGGAGGGACAGTCCCTTGCTAAACATGAGTAATGGGTTAGTTAGATGACATAGTAATGGGTTAGTAAATATCTCTTTAAATGCATGGAAGGTGAACAAACCAACTAATCTTGCTTAGGCATTGAGACAGGAGTGCTGTCTTAGGCAGCTTGAGTGACTCGGGGAAAATAATATGCCCGTCACCACCCAGTACTCATGGTGTCAGGAGCGAGCATCACTAATTGTAGGACCCAGGCCTGTATGAGGCAAATTCTGGTTCCCACCTCCCACTAGTGTCAAAGGAGTTTGGGGTGTGGGAAGGGAGGCCCCCACTCTGCGCCAGGCACTTCACCTTCATCTGTATCACTGCTGTTGATATAAAAAAGTGGGCTTCTTAGAGCTGTTCTTCCTGAACTGGTCCTCAGTGGTCTACAGACATGATCCATCACAGCATCCTCATGTCCTGCACATGGCAAGTGCTCCTGAAACATCTGCTCTATGAAGGCAGCTGCCTAAGAGCCAACCCTACCCATTTGTTGCTGTCTGAGAACCTATAGAGTCAAGGTAATCTCTGAGTTTGGTCTCTGAGCCTGGAGGCTATGTCAGAGTTGCGGGACACATGTGAGGGTCGGGCGCGGCTCTAGAAGGGAAGTCTAGAAGGCACACTGCATGACTGCAAGGGGATATGCTGGTGAGGGAAGTGCCTAGAGGGAGCGCTCAGCGATGCCTTCAAGAATTTAAGGGCTGTCAGGAGGAGAAGAAGGCAGAATTGAATCTCAGGACACCTATCCATGAGCACGAGTACTGAGAGCTGGTCCGGAATGGGGACCATTTTCCACTTACCAAGCAGAAGATGTATCCGGTGAGCAGAGCCTCCTACCGTTGGGCCGGGCCTCTCGGAAGGGCGTTAAAGCAGAAGCTTCGCAATTACTCAAAGCGAACAGTGGTCGCAGAATCAACCGTTTGAGGCTTCAGAGTCGGTGCAAACTGGGTTCAAAGCCCAAAAGTGGATGCTGCAAAAGTAAAACATTCCTGAGGGACAGGTGAAGGGACTGTGCCCAGAGGGCAGGACTTTGAAATGCACCTGGTTGTGCATTTTGCCTGGGAAAAGAAGCACCACAGGTACAAGTCTATACCAACTCATGAGCTGCGGAAAAGTGGTCTGTCTGGATGGCCAGGGGCATCACTGGAAAACTGGTGGCAACAAGATCTGGGAGCGAAATCGTGTCGATTTCTCTAAATGGGCAAAGAATGTGAAGATACTTGTGCCCCATGCTAACACACACCAAAGGGTGACTTGAGCAGGGGAGAATTTTATAATCGAGTGGATGGCATGACCCACTCTGTGGACACCCCTGTCAGGCTCTCTCTTAGGCCCCTTCTGCCATCGCCCGGTGAGGAAATGCACGGGCTCAGCAACATGGGTTTCCACTCACCCGGGCTGAGTGCCCAGCCAGAAACTGAGTCCTGCTGGGGCGCCCTCCTGTGAGGTGAGGGGAACTACCTGATGGCAGGTAGATTACATGGAACCACTTCCATCACAGAAGGACAGCACTTTTTTCTTCTAAAATGGACACTCTGGGTATGGATCAGCTCTCTCAAAACCACCATATCTGACCCAGCTGGTGTGGTTCAGTGGTTGAGTGTCAACCCACACACCAAAAGGTCACCAGTTTGATTCCTGGTCAGGGCACATATCTGGGTTGCAGGCTCAATACCCAGTGAGGCACGTGCAGGAGGCAGCCAACGATATTTCTTTCTCATTGATGTCTCCCTCTCCCTTCTTCTCTCTCTCAAATCAAAAACATTAAAAAAAATAAAAATTATCATCTCTGGACTCCAGCAAAAAGACCAGGCTGGTTAAGAGACAGAGGTTTCTGGCAAGTAAATCTGATGTCTAAGTAACCAGAAAGTTCACCAGATCCTCATTCAACGGTTCAGGTGCCTACTGTGCGCCCCTCCTGAGAGGTAAACCAGGTAATTCCTGCCCTCAAGGAACTCCCAGTCTTAGGTGGGAGACAAATTCATAACCAAGTACTTACAATGCAGAGGACCCAAGGCTGCCATGGTGAGGCAGACAAGGAGTTCTGGAATATGGAGGCTTCCTCCTGTGACTACACCTCTGTGCCCTGGCCCTCTCACTGGCTTTTCTCCCACCCAATGGTGGCCACCCAGATGGCCGCTGTGTCTGCCCCAGGCTTCCTAATGAATTCACTGGGCTGGCCCTCGGCTCTTAGTTTTCACTCAGTCCATAGGAATCACCAAGGGGTCTGTCAATAATACAAATTCCCAGGCTCCATCCACCTCCCGAAATCCTGATTCAGGATGTGCCAGGTGGAGGCCTGGACTGTGCGTTCTTTTTACGAGACTCCCACCAACTCAGGTGGTCTACACTTTAAGAAACACTGGCTTAAGGAACCCACTGGGTACAACTCAGCATTCTAACCTTTTATTTCTTAAAAAAAGTCATTTCAAGATACAACCCATAAAAGTTTAATGCAATTTCCCACCATCTGTCTTTGATTTCTTCCCTTTTTATGGAGGAACTTTCTTCAGCTCGGGATAAAGATTTATTATAATGCTGGGTTAAGTGCTGTAGGGAGGCCATTCTATCAACCCACAGGGAAGGACCTCATTTTCCTCCCTCAAGGGCACAAATCTCACGGGGGCAACAGTAATAACCACAGTGAGAAGTGGAAAGCATTTCAGAGGCACAGATGTTATCTCAGTTGGTGGCAGCTCCACCTGGAGCAGCTTTAGGACATTCAAATACAGATGCCACCCACCCCATGTCTCCTCTCTCCTTCTGACCCCAAAGTGCCACCATAACCACCTAATAAGCTGACATCAAGAATTCACCCGGGATTTTAAATTATTCAGGATTCAGCCATTTCTATATGGAGGCATGTGGAAAGGCTCAATTCTGGGTAAGGTAGATTGTGTTTTCACACAGAAGGTAATGATTACATAGCACTTTAAAAAATTTTGTATTGTGATAAAATGCACATAACATACAATTTACCATTTTAACCAGTTTTAAGTGCACACATTCACATTGTACAACCATCACCACCATCTACCTACAGCACTTCTTCACCCCCAGCTGAAACTCTGTCCCCACTGAACACCAAGCCCCTGCAACCACCATTTTTTCTGTCTCTATGAATCTGCCTACTCTATGGATCTCATAGAAGCGGAATCATACAGCATTTGTGTTTCTGTTGCTGGTGTTTTTCACTTAGCACAGTGTCTTTAAGGTTCATCTATATTGTAGCATATATTTGAATTTCCTTCCTTTCTCGTGCTAAATACTATTCCTTTATATGTTCAGACCACGTTTTCTTTACCCATTCATCCATCCATGGACACTTGGGTTGCACTTTAAAAATCACAATTATTATTATCTCCACT